CACCTACCTTGAATTCTGTCTGACGCTCACTACTGTCTTGCCTGCCGTCCTACCGTGACCTTTGTCTGATATTGACTACTCCTCATTGCAGCCATCCTGCACCTGCCACCACTTAATGGGGCAAATCCAAGGGCTAAAACCTTATGTTGGCTTGCAGAAAGTAGCCTGGGGGCCACTAGAGTTTCTGACTCATCACTCCTTGCGGGGTGCCCTGGTGAACACCAAGTTGTCACTTAGACTCCATGCCTTGCAGGAGCCCAAATCACCTGCCAGGGGAACATCACACTATCTAACAGAGAATTGTTTTTTTATTGAATTACATCTTATTACTCATTTTTATCCAAAATGTTTTTTCTTTGTGAATATAAAATGTATTTTGTTTAAATTACAATGACAGAGTTAGTAGTCCTAGCAGAACTTTTTAATGTGCGCTATGAAAGGTAGCTTTTATGTACAGTAATTAAGACCACCTTTATGACATGTGTTTTTGAAAATATGGCACTGCAGTGCTACCTACATTTCCATTATACATTATACTTTGAAACAAATTTAAGTAAACTTGTCACAGAACTAGGCAAATATTCTTAGCATATGATGAAAACACTGCATGAGCAGAAGTTATCTTTGGTAAAAACTGAATGCAAAACAGTCAATGGCCTAGCTTCTCCATACCTGAAAGTACCTTGTATTCCTTGGTTCCCAGTGTTATTTGGAGAAGCAGAGGAGCAATGGAAAGTTAAGAATGTGCTGCTGACCTAAATTACACAAATAAAAAGTGCTACTGTAAGACAAACTTTTTTTTCTTTTGTTCCTTCCTATGGGGACACTAGTTCTGGTGACCCTGCTGACCACCAGGGATCTCTCTCAATTTGAAGGGATTTCCTGTATTGTGGCTATTGAACAGAAAGTGAAGGGAAATTTCCCTAATAGGACACAGCTGATGGGAATTATAACCCAAATTTTTTTTTAAATGTAGCTTCAGTTCTACTTTAATGCAGCTCCATAGCTATTAATACAGCAGCAAACATATGTTGTGTAAGACAGTTTAAGTACTTGGATTTGACTAGCTATTAGCAGCACAAGGTACCAATCAGTTCATGTAATTAAAATAAGCAAGAAGCATGCTGATAGGATGAGAAACCAGAGTGACAGAGAGATGAGCTCATTATTGTGCTGCTTATCCTTTCACTGTCCAGTCACAGGCTGGGGTGGGTCCAGTATTACCAGCAGGCCCGTCTTTAATACTGATTGGACCCTGGGCAAGCGTTTTCTTGGGCCCTAAAAGGCAACAAAACTCACAGTAAAGTGCAGTGTGTATGAGTATATCACAAAAACTGAGGCTAGGTTCAGATATGGGCGATTCCGGGGCTGCGGGATTGTGCACAAAAAAGGTACACATGACACACAGCTTTTTTAGCCCTGATCGTATTTAGTATTGCGGCGGGAAACCTCACGATTCACCTGGCGTGACTGGGGTGCCATTAGAAAGTAATGGCACCGCCAGTGCGATCAGCAGGGGTGGGCAATTCTGTGACCAAGCAGATATCCACACGGTCACATATTTACCCACCACTGCCAATCACACTGGTGGTGCCATTGTGCACGATTGCCGCAGGTTCACGGATCGCCCAGGTGTGAATCTAGCCTGACAGTAATGTGCAGTGTGTATGGGTATATCATTAAGCTTCACAGCAACAAGACTCACAGTAATGTGCAGTGTATAAGTGTATAGCAGAGCTCCACAGGAATACTATGCATATTACGTTCCCGTTCACACCAATTGCAGTGCGTTCCAGAGCAGTAGCTGCTGGAACACAAAGCAATTGAACACCAAATTTCCCCCTTTGTTCTGGGGCGGGAGGGGGCATATGGTGCATTGAAGTCAATAGCATCGCAGCCACACCTCCGTCTGCAGTGCAATCGGATGCATGGCAAAACGTTTGCACTAGACCGGAATGCAGGCAATGTTATGCCATGCATCCGATCGCAGTGCGGGTGGGGGCGTGGCTGCAGTGCCATTGACTTCAATGCACAGCCACGCCCCCTCCCACCCCAGAACAGGGGGGGAAATTTAGTGTGCAATTGCTGTGCAAATCTGGAACGCACCACAATTGGTGTGAATGGGAGCTAAAAGGTGTTTGAAATAAAAGTAAATATTATTAAAAAAATTATAGTTATGTACACACCGAGAAACATGAAATTATATTTTATCTAATATTACTAAGCCAATTAATTGTATTTCCTTCCACAGCATTTATTTATTTATATTTGTTATTTTTTAACACACACCCACAATAAACAGAAAAATGTAATCTATATTCAGTGTCGTAACTAGAAACTTCAGGGCCCCACTGCAAGAAACCATGAAGAGCCCCCCCCCCCAACCCCCCTCCGCCATGGGAAGGCACTATAAACACGCACCGTGTGGTTAACAGGAAGGCTGCCGAGGTCCCTACCAAGCATGGGACCTCAGGCAGCCACTTCAGTTAAAAAATTTAGTGCTAGTGTTCTGTTGTGCGCATTAACAAGGAAACCACCATTTATTTACAAAGAATTCGTTTATAATCATTAATTGTGACCGTTAATAATATGCCGTCCATGGCAGTACATGATGGATGGCATATTATCAACAGTCACAATTAACGATTTAAACTAAATACTTTGACAATAAATCCTCGATAATACTAGTCTGTGCGCACGCGCAGATGCTGACGTTGGCAAATTCAGCTAGGTCAGCGTTCTCGACAGAACACCGCTATCTGTGCTTAGTATCGGGTATTTTCACAAGTAAGAGTACACGTGAAAATGCCCAGTACTGGCACATCCCTACTTGAAAATATTATGTATTGCTGAGACTTGTAGTCTTGCATAGTTGATGCTATTCTGCATTGTTTCTCCCCACAATTCTCCTGGGCGCAGTACAGGATAGCCTCGGCTCTCTGCTCTGCGCGTGCTGGCGGCTCCTCTGGGGCTCCAGGAGCTAGTCTGCTCGTCGCTTGTTTATGAGCCTTGCCCCCTCCTTCTCACTCCTCTCCCGGCAAAACACCAGCGTTGAGCGTGGGGGATCAGTGACACCCCCCCTCCCTCCTGGCTGCGGTCTCTCAGGCAGAGTGACTGACAATGAATGGCCTGTCTATCTCCCAACCGATACTGCCACGGCTCTTTTTTCTCTGGTGTTGGGGGCAAAAGGGACATCTGTTGTGGGCCCCTGTAATTTATAGGGCCCCGGGCAGATGCCCCTTTTGCACCGCGGTAAAGACGGCCCTGATGACCAGGACTCAGAGAAAGTGGGTTGAATGATGCTGGCCATCATACTGAGGACATCTATTGGCACTCTCTGGACCGAAGGTGAATATTGCAGCAAAAGTTGGTTTTGTTAAACTAGATTTTAATGGACAGTTCATTTGTATCTTCTTATTTTTGACTTGAGTTCAGCTTTAGGCCGTAATGAAAGAAGCCCGTTCTTTACAGAACTCAAAATAGTCATCACGGCAGTGACTCATCACTATTATTCTTTCATATGTTTCCAGCATTCTGGGTTATCTCTTTAAATTTTGATGCAGAAAGATTGTTTCACTAAATTCCCAAGTAAGACCAGCCTTAACTCTGAAGTGAATAGCCGAAAAGTGTTCGGCTCACTTCACTTCTGATCGGTCATTCACTCGGCTGCCCTCGGCAGCATAGTGAATAGACCCCTAAGCAATAAAATTCACATTTCACATAAATCACCTTATTACTTTGACTAAAATGTATCTTTTGTTTACATGAATAAAAAACCTGATGTTGCTCTCTTCCCAGCCTAAGCTGCATAGATCACATGGGCTCATGTTACTAATCATTTCTGCAGAGAGTACAAGGTTTTTAATAAGAAAGACAAAAGAGGATCAAAAAAATTACCAGGTTCACTAATAATTACAAATTACGAAGAAAATGAAGTTTTATTAATTGATTGACACATTTATAATATTGTTTACTTTCATATGCTGTACATCTCTGTAATACCTGTACATTTCCACATGTTTCGTCTTTAAATTTGCTGCAAGTACTTAAAATTACCTGTTGATCTGCCAGAAATCTAGAGCATTTCTAACTTTCTGCTTCAGCTGGCAACTCAGTGCCTCAGCTGCATGCAGATCTAAAGTAGTGTTGTTGGCCCTGTTGTGCTATCTTTTGCTGGACTGTAGAACATTTCCCCCTCTTGTCATCACCATAACATATGGGAAAGGTGTTCTGTACTCCACAGAGGGAAGATTGGCAGGACTGATAACAATGCTTTGAATTTCATTGCAGCAAATACACTGCATTTCCAGCTTAAGCAGGCCGTTAGGAACTCACTACATTTTTGGCATGATTATTTTTCTTTACTTGCAGCATTTGTAATGGATACAACTTGGGGAAATGTGTATATATTGCAGAGATGTACTTAAGATGTGTTCATTTAAATTCTTCCCAGTCAACCACTTTAGATGAACTTTTTCACATATCTAACAACAATTAAAAAGGCTTTACTTTCCCATAAAGGTGCTAACCTACCTGAGAAAGTGGTGGGCTGTGCCCTAAGGCAGCACAGCCTGCCTGCAACTCCAAAAAATGAAAGCTCAGCATTTATATTGTAGAGGAGAGGGCTGTACAGACACTGATGGTTCCATCTATTCCTGGCGGTGGTGGTAGTGGAGCAGTAATAAATGGATAAAGTTTTCTAACTTGCTTGACCAATCATTATCATAAAAACATACAGCTGTCTTATTGTGTCTGTGGCCTGGTTTTACCTTTCTCATCAGTTCCTAATTATTGAGTTATAAGGTGTATCAGAGTTCACTCTATTGCAGTGATATCAGATACATTCATGACAGGTTTCTGTAAAGTTTTTCACCCCCTGATGTCATGTCATGTAGTCATGATGCCGAATAAATATCAAAAGGAAAACGTTTTTTTTCCATAAATGTGTTATTTTATTTTCATATGCATTTCTAATTTGAACTTGTTTTATTTCATTGCAGATGGTTTGATATTATCGTTTACTGTCTCTGTTGTCATTGGATTGGCAATCGGTGGTACAATATGGCTTCTACTGTCATGCATGTCCCGTCGTCGAGCCAGTGCAGCTATATCCCCAAGAATGAAAAATTCATCTAGTCGCCGTCCTAGAACATTGTCTCAAAACCAAGCCTTAAACAGATCTGGATTTTACCGCAATAGTAGCTGTGAACGCAGGAGCAACCTCAGTTTGGCTAGTCTGACATTTCAAAGACAGACATCACAAGAGCAAAATGACCCATTTAATCGGAAACCTAGCTTCAGAGCCTCCACATTCCATCCATTCCTACAGTCACCTACTTTGCCAGTTGAAGCTGAAAGTCAAATGGTTACACTTCCCAGATCCAATAGCACATCGCCAACACTCAACAACACTAGCAATCTCGGTCGTCCTGAGTTCCACTGGTCAAACAACAGCTTGCGTCTTGGTCACCCTACTCATACACCACCACCTGCCTATGAAAGTATTATTAAGGCTTTCCCTGATCCTTGAAAATTATGTCTGGATTGCTGGATTGAACAGTTACATTCTTTTCCAGAGGACGTTGTCATATTGATGGAGCAAACAAAAGGGTGCCATTTGACCACTTCGGTGCTTTTTAAAGAACATCCTAAGTTTAAATAATAATCTGAATATAGCTGCAATGAGGGAGCTTTACATTTTTTAAATATAATTGTGTATTAAGTCTTTATTCCAGGCACTGGGACTCTGGTATATAAGCATATTAGTAGCTCAATAACTTCAAACTTCCTGACAAATTTGATGAACAAAATTGAAAATTACTTCTTTGGTTAAGATGCCCCTAAGTCCTTGTGCTTGAATTATAGTTGTTGTCAATATTTTATTCTCTATAGAAATTATTCAGTGTATACTTACTATGTCAAATATACACTGACATATAGATGCTACTTCTTCTCCTGCTTGTTGTAATAGCTGAATGCTTTACTTAGTTTTTCACTTGGATTAATGCACTGAGAAGTTAAAGGACACTACTGTATTATTAAACGCTTTTCTGCACTGTTACATTTTTCATTTGGCAAAATATAAAATACATATATGTTTAAGAGACATTATTTGAAATTTAAAGTTTATCTTGAGCCAAAACTTTATTTAAATGAGCAGGGATGGATTGAAACCCCTGTCAGGTTTTTTATTGATTTTTGTGTTCCTGCTGCTGGATTCACCCTCTCTGTTTGTCTTGGTGACCACTGCCATTGAGACAGAAAGTGATGGTAATTCAAAATGTTATAGTTGTCACCAAAAAAAGGGTGAACGGAAAATATTTAATCGGGGACACCTATTTTGGTGACAACTGTTTAATAGGGGAATTTTCCTCACTTTGCAGAGATTTGTTCACTCTTTCTGTTACATCTCTGGGACAGGAAATTAAGGGAAATCTCTGCAATGGGACACAGAACGCAAAAAATAAAAGTACAATGGTTTTAACAGTTCCCTATTTATATAACAAACCAAAGAGTTTTGGATACACATACACGTTAATGAAATGTAAACTTGACACAAACATGAACATTTCAGTATGAGATTATGAGGAAAAATGCAAAACCAAAATGTATCATCACCGAATACACATGTGAAAATAATCAGCAGATCCAGAGTTCTAGGCAGGTAAAGCTATAAGCAAACCTTGATGTTTGCCATAAAAGTCTTAGTCAGTGTGGCTGGCAATCTAAATAAAGCACCAAAAGGAATCCTTGGTGGTGGGAAGGAGGAGGAACTAGTTTGTCTTTCACAGAAAAAGTTGTTTTTACCTTGTCTATATTTCTTGATTGCTTTCATGTCTGCCTTTCTTTGAGGGTGACCTCTACCCAGGTTTTCAAGTGGTATGCTTCAAAGTAAAACTGTGGACATGCTACTGACCTCAATCATTGTAATAACAAGCAGCAAAGGAGCCTAAAGACAAGCCCTCATTGACCTGTGTAAGTACAGCAATGTGGAGAAGTTCATCCTCAAAGTTCACAACAGGCACAGAAGAAATTTTCTCAGACTCACTTCTCACTGCTCCCTCTTACAAACAGCAACTCTGCTGCCTTATAGCATTCCATCTAAAATGTAAACACAGAGCAGGGTGAACTCGTCCATGTTTTTCTTAGGAAAATGTTCCATTCAATTCTAGAAGGAAATATTGCTGTGTGCTTTTCAAAACACAAATATACAGAATAATTGTGGAAGATCAAGCTTAATACAAATATGTTGCATATAGTCCAAGCAAGAAGTATAGTCCATGCATATAGTCCATGCAAAAAGTCTATCAATCTAACTACAATGATCAATGCAATTAAAACTGGAACAAAAGTGGAGCAGATGAATCAAGGAATCTGGTTGGTTGCTTAGGGTAGATGATTAAATTTGACACTAGTCCTTTCGCAACTTGTATTTGTCCTGGAGTCAAATTTCTTCTTTCTTTTGTATTACTTTTGCATTCAGCTTAAGGCAGAATACAGCAGATAAGCCACACAACCCTTTGATTTGGCAACATTTAGGCACACACCTTTATTTATACATTTTTGGAGTAATGGTCCCTTGAATGTATGCATTTCTCCTTTAGGGAGAACTATCTTATTAAAACAGTACACTAAACTGTTATTATGTTGTGTGCAGGGAAAAGAGTTTACCTGCCTAGGGCTTCTGTTTTTTGCCAGGAGTCCAAATCTGGTCAGCCTTGTTAACAGTAAGCTGAGAATGCATAGTTGCCTTTTGTTTGGATGAGCAATATAGATAGTGCAGTTCTGAACCAATGATGCTATCCCTGACAAATAAAAAAAGCAGCCTTGCTCCCCTTAGCTTTCTGCATTTTGAGTACTGTTCTTGAATACACACCCCTTGGACTTCTCTCAGGCCCATCCTACACTGCAGATGTATCTCTCTTGTGCTTCTTCAAGTTCCACCTATGCTTTGTTCCAACCCTCTGCTTACCTTCCAACTTTCTGAGGTGAGAGAGAAGGACACCTTCCAGCACCTTCCAGCATTTAGGCAATGGACACACACCTGCCACAACTCCAGTTTTGTGGATCATTAAGAATTTATATGCCAAAAATGATTGGTAAAACACAGAATTGTGGTTTGGATGGTTTTATTAGTTTAATAGTAAATTTTTATAGATATCTGTACATCAGACCAAAAAGAGGGACAAACAAGCAGGAAGGAGGGACCAAGGGATTTGGTTCATAATAAGGGACATTTTGGAGGTATGTCCCTGTGCTATTAGTCTGTGATCAGTGCAGTCCCTGCACAGCACTGTTGGGCTTACACCAAGAAAACTTGGATGACCTATATGATATTTTTTTGGATTCACCACCCAGGCTAATTAATTTTCATTGTTGCCTAGTGTTTCTTTATAATGTTTACTTGCTTTAGTAAATATGTAGGGTTTTATGCCGCACACTCCTAATACTAAAGGATAAAGATGATTATAACTATATATTTTAAAGAAGTTGTTTTTAAACAAACAAATGACCTTCTGATTTTTATACATCTAAACGTTTATGTATTGAATTCATTTTCAGCTATACTGTATAAATGAACAAACCAATATTCAGTCAAAATTGTGGGTGATATATTATAAAATGTATGTAAGTTTTCTATGCTATGCTGTAATTACAGTGGATATTTGTAAACAAAAACCTAAAAAATTGATAAACACGCATCATATGAACCATCTTTTTTTAGTATAAGGGTCATTTTTTTTATAGGAAATATATTTTGGTATGTAAATGTTTGAATGAGAAATAAAATGCTTTAGTTTAGTGCACTGTTCCACAGTCTTCTGAATGTGAACACATGACATTTTTAATTTGAGAAAGTAAAAACACTAAAAAACCCTGTACTTTTCCAGTGTAGACTGGAATCTGTTTGGTTGCTTTGTTTGAGACAGCTCTTTCTTTGGAAGGTTTTATGAAGAAGGCCTAATAGACAGTACTTGGTATAATGATCTAATGGTAATATAGAAGCATAAATGGACTTACAGTAATTGGAACACACTGACCTAACAATTTACCTATTTTTCCCTGCAGTCTGGTTTGCAACATGAATAGCCACCTTGCTTTGCAATTTCTGAAGGAAAAGCAAATAAAACATGTTGCATTCTCAGTTATCACATAAATCACCTTCCTTTCGGCACAAACACAGCTCTAGAATGGTGTCCAGATAAAAAAAATACTGTATTGATTAATGATAATTATTTATTTTTTACTCCTGTTGTTTTTCTGATAGTGTGCATAGGAGCAGTCAGTTCACTAAATGTGATCTCATGAGATAAATTGGTCACATGACCTTTTTAGTGAAATGTCACATGAGACTAAAAAAAAATTCAAAACATGTGAAATAAATAAAGCAAAGCCTGAAAAACATGAGATAAATTGCATGAAATATATCAAGGTCAATTCACACAAAAAAAGTATGAAGTAATTATCACCAGGCTGGGGCAGTTGGTATTTGCTGTCTGTCGGCCTGTGGCAGTGTGAAAGTGTTCAAAACCTCCAATTTGAGGCAATGGAAGTATTTGAGAATACCATGCTGGAATATAAGTTCATCCAAAGTAGGATACAGAGAAGAATAAAGGCAGGAATGGGACCAAATAAAAAGTGTTTTGTACACCTTAGCTGGTTTTTAATGTTATGGGTGCAAAAGACTGCACCCATGGGCCTTTTTTTCCACTGGAAACAACCATATGAAAAGCTTACATTTTAAGATAAATACTGCATGTTTTGAAGAAATATCTCATTGGATAAATGACTCACATTTTAGTGAAGTGGATACTGAAGAGTTATTTTACCTCAAAATGTCATGAGGTATTTAGCTCTTAGTGAATTGAGCCCTGAGTGTTATATTGACTGAGACACAGAATCTGCATCACCAACCCTCCCAGGGAAATATTTTTTATTAATGAATTCTGAAAGTTATGTACAGCATATGAGGCAGAATGCTTTAGTTTTGCGTTCAAACAAGGTGAAAAACACCACGTGGTCAGTTTTTGTTGATCAACAATATTAGAAAATTAAAAATACTTGATTTTTATATTTTCTGAGATACAGAAACTCACAAACAAAACTGGTAGAGAAATACTTCTGCCACTGCGGCCTGAAAGTTAAAGAGCAGAATAATGCTACAGTGTTATATGAATGAATGACAGCACAGAAGCCTCTAGTGTACTATGATTAATGAAGGCATTAAGCAACCTTGAGAGGTGATGTCTAGCACCAGCGCATTCAAAATATTTCTACCACTTTTACAAGTTTTTATATGAAGGTTGCATCTTAAACAAAATACTGTAGGAAAGATAGAGAGGCACAGTGAATATGGGAAGGCATGAAGGCAACATGAGGGAACCTGGCCAAGATCAGCAAGAAACATATGCAGCATCTTTCGGTGTACACTTCCAAATTTGCAGATGTCTGCATTGTTTGCCTAACTGAAATCTTGATCGAATCATAATGACAAATCCAGTGCATTATAATTTCTTCTATACTGACAATTATTGTACAGCTCATATTCCAAAAAAAGTTTAAA